TATACTTAATTTTTTCAAATCAGTGTTATTAGATATATTTTATTAAATTGATGTAAAATTAATTTTAAAAAGTCATACTCAATCGTGTCTTTTACAATGTTATCAAGAATTAAGAGTATTACATCCCCAGCGTAAGCTAAGGAAGTACCTATATCTAATAGTAATGGAGTCCATCGACCGAATTGACACTTTCATATTTTCTCGACGTGTCTATCTGTGTGTCTGTCTGTCTGTCTGTTTAGTGTCTGCATCCATTTTTATTAGACAAGTAATCTCCGAAACTACTGGACGGATTGTTGTCACATTTTGTATGTATATTGGGAATATCATGTGGATGGTTAAACGTTAACTATTTTTTTTTTTAATTTTATAAATATACTCCTGCATTTGTGGTGTGTGAATCGGTGTCGAATTTTCACCCTAGACATCCGGAATTTTTGAAAAAAATTCAACACTCAATGACAATATTTTGCAATATAACTTTGAAACTATAAAACCGATTGCTCTGAAATCTTGTAAATATTTTAACATTATCGTAATCATGATAAATTGTTAAGCAAAATTTATTCGTTTATCCCCTCCCAAAAAATTGATGACGTCACCTCAAAATTATGCCGAATAAATCCTATCCAAAATGTGCAAAATATGATGAGTCTATACTTGTCACTTACCACTGCATTAAAAGTTTTTAAATTTCTTATACAGGGTGACTCAAAAGAATTAACGAATGAGTCAATTTATTTTATTGATTAAATAGGAAGTGGCTCACTCCGTTTTCCTGAAAATTTTGAGAATGCAAAACTGTTAGGGTAAATGTGTACAAGAGTGCGAATATGTATAAGAGTACGCACTGATGATTTCTGCTTATTAGTGCCATCTGGGTAAGATGAAGTTATACCATTCAGAATTTAATGCTAAACCTGAGATAAAGGTGCAAAAGTGACCTGAATATAGTTTAGAGTTTGGTCGTACTGACGATTTTATGTTCGTACGTTGTGTGGATGTAATTTTCACCGCTCATAGTTTTAGTTTTTTGTAAGGTACGTACCAGTTCTTTTATTTTACAGTAATAATTTTCATTAGCTGTAACTTTTAAGGTCTCGTTATACACTAACAGTTTTATACTTTCTATCCATCAAAAGCTTTTAACTTTGAAAACATTAGGTTATGTACAAATGTACAAGAGTGCGCAGCGAGGTATTGTATAAGAGTGCGCATTGCTTGCAATACGTAGTCTAATAGTCTTGGAGATACATATCATACGATAATGAATTATTTAACTCTACTACTTTGTACTGCTTCTCAAGTTGTGTGGTGGTGGTTATGGTGATTTTTTTTTATTTTTACTTCCTGAGCGTGCTGTAATCGAGTCCGTCGACCGAGTCTCTATTTTTACGTTTTTTCGACTTTTCAAGACCCCTAGACTACGAAGAAATAGGTCTCCCGTTTTATGTGTAGTCTGTAGTCACTTATTCCCATTTATTTTCACCTTAGAAACAAAGATTTTTTCATAAAATGTAATGCGCACTCATAAGCGTTCAAATGCGCACTCTTGTGCAATGAACTGTCTAAGAGTGCGCATTTACACGTCTTGAAAAAGATTGAAATTACTCTTAAAATATAGTGGTCTTGGGACGTACAATTAAATATATCTGATCTCTAAACATGTATATAACGAAGCCATATCATAAAATTGGTCTATCCAAAAAAATTAAAAAGTTGTTGACAGTTTTACACTAAGTGCGTACTCTTGTACACATTTACCCTATTTTCAGTATTACGCTGCACCTATCCAAAGTGATATACGTTCTTTCCAAAAATGTTGATGACGTAGTCACAAAATTTTGTAAAGTAAAAACTCATTTGAAACATACGAGTTGCATGCTTTTTTACATTGACATTAAATACTTACATATTTATCCAAATTATAGGGATTCTCATAAAAAACGAGGGAAGTTCTGTCGAAACAACTTTCGACTAATTTTTATTTATTTTAAAATAACTAATTCAACAGCAATTTTAGCCAGGGAAAAAATATTCAAAGTTTTAGCACTCCAATTTTTTATTTAAGTATCGATTACAAATAAATAATTAGATTGATTTCCATTTTTATTCAATAATTGGCTATGAAAAATGTCTTGGAAAATCTGAGATGATAGGTATATAGTTAAGGTTTAAAGAGTGTACGTATTATTCAAATTGTGTTAAAGTATGTTATCAAAGAAATTATCAGAGAAAATATACACAGTTCTCCAAAATTTTCATTATAGTTGGGTTAATATTCAGTCTAAATGTATGTGACACCTGTGGAATAAAATTTTAAAACAAATTTAGGGAAATAACATAAACCTATCTTGCAGATATTAATAGGAACACATAAATAAGTCCATAATAATAAAATAATACAATCGCAGTTTTACTTCTAATCATATTCTGATACACTTCCAATAGATTTCTGTTATTGTAACACATTGTAATGACACAGGTGGCACTGTACATCGACATAAAATATAATCGAAATCAAGTAGTGGCTTAATTTTGTTAATATGGTTTAAAATTTAACGAGATAGGTGCTTGTAGTCTATTAAGTAGCAGAAAATTCCGAAGTCTCTTCAAATAATTCGTTTCGTCCACTATATTCCTATTTATTTCTAGTACGTTTGGTGTAGTATTTTCAGAAACAAAACAAAATTAAATAAATTACAAGTAGTAAAAATAAACAAATTGCAAAGAAGATCATAGATTGAGAAGCCAGATTATTTCAATAAAAACTTGTATCAGAATTTGGTAGCTTTGAAATCTGTTATCCGGTGACGTCACCAACGAACCACATATACTGGTACACATAAACAAAAAATTTTAGAAAGCTTTTAAAAAATTGCGTGGAACCTAGGTAGGTATATTTGGGAAAACTCAGCACTAATTTCTTAGTCCTTTCTTGGTAACTAATTTATGAGAAAATCAGTATTTTCGAATAACTAAAAAGCTGATTAATTAAAAAAAAAAACAACCATACAGAAACTTAAAACAGATTTTGGAGGGAAGAGAGTGAAACACATATTTGTATAATCTTACGATACTTATAAATAACAGGTAATGGAGGCATGGCAACAGTTGAAAACAGTCATGATTTTTGAGAAAAAGTGTAAACTTTTCGAATCAAATTTGGAAATTTTCACTTGTTACCTAAAGTGTACTCAGAATATAAATATGTACCTAGATAAAAGGACTTCGGAAACGTTGCCAACTTCATTCGCCCTTGAAGTATAAACAAATAAATTCGGTTTCCACAAGACTTGTAAACTTTGGTTTTGCGAATTTTATTTTATTTTATTTTATTTTTTTATGATTAACTTTATAAGTTAAAATAAAGCTATCTGTGGCAGTTAAAGTACAGGTAAAGCAGTATACTAAGCGTATGTTGCAAGTGAGTTTTTCATAATAAAATTTTATGATGATGTGATCAATTCTTTAACAAAGAGAAATGGTTATAGTTTAATACTAAATAACAATAGTGTAGTCCTAAAATTTCAGGACAATGGAGTGAACTATTTTTGATTTGGTCAATAAAATAAATTCTTTCATTCATTAATTTTCTGAGTCTCTCTATGAGCAATTTAAAAAAATATGAATGCATTGATAAACCGCACTAAGTACAAGTGTAGTTTTATTTTACACAATTTAAGCAGTATTAATTGATTAAATTGTAAAATATTGATTCTACTTAGCATTCCATCAATTATACGATATTCTCGAAATACGTGTAGAATTTCACAACAATTAATTTATTATAGTTTCAGAGATTATCTGTCTAATATATAAAGTCATCAGGAGACTATAGACAACAGGGAACAAACAGCCGGAAATGGGAGATCCATTTTTCACACAATAGAGATCATAAAAAAATAGAGTCTGATTATACTTTAACACAATAACACTCACAGTTTTTAGTAATTTGAAACCAATAACTGAAAATATACCTATACTTATCATAAAACATCCATCCATAAGAATAAACTTATACCTACATATCTAGATAGCTAGGTACCTATACATTTACTATTAAGTATTTTTGTAGTAGGTATACAATATGTTCCCGGATTGAGTTTACAAGAGTTTTTTTTATTATTTATTATTTTACAGAAAAAAGACAAATGGGATAAAAATTTTACAAAATTCAATCTAAAGTGGAGTAAAATTTACAAAACAAATAAATTTTTGCTGCCATTTTTTTTCATTTTTCAAATTAAAGTCAATATTAAGGGTACCGTAACCCATGTGTAAAAAAGTCTTTTTTTTGTTATTGACACAAATAAAAATTGATTTTTATAAATGGGTAATAAGTACTAGGATTTACTGATTTATCTTAAAATTATAATTAGTTTCCTAGTTGCAAATTTTAGTAATAAACTTTGATAGTATTTCAAACTTAACACACTAGGGTTGTAAATTCGACTTACTGGTACGGCTCTCAAGTCAAATCAGTAATAATCCGCAAACAATTGTCTTAAAAATCACATTTGTCTTTACAGTCATTACCCATTTTTTTTAAGTAAAAAAACCTAATTATACAACATTCTAAATAGTTATAAGGGACAGTTTTGCTTTTCACTATTTTAAAAAATGTAAGCATATTAGTTCTGTCCAGTTATTTATTTATTCAACTAAAATGGCGAATTCGCAAGTTCCACCATCAACCTATGTATTTTCCTGGAGAAAAAAATTTTTCATTAGCTTCTTGTAGTAAAGACTTCCCAACAACCCCCCTTCCGAAGGAAAACAATTTCATCCCCCGAATGAAATCATCCACAAAATTCAGAATTGCATGGAAGAAAGAGCACTCTGTCGAAACTCGAAATAAAACAGTGGACAAGTGCAGTGTTATCAGAGTGGCATGTCAATCAAAGTGAACACAACAGCGCCAAGTCCCGCCTACTGAGATAACACTATATCAGCCACTAACAGGCATAGGAGGAGCCGTCATCCAACATGGCGTTGCACGACGCTCACGACGCGCAGTGCAGCCAACATTCATCCATCGCCGCACAGACGTAGCGGCGCCCGTCGCCCTCTATTTTGCTGTATTTTCCACTAGTTTACGCTGATTCAGTGCTGGGTGCTACAAATTCCAATACATTTTCGAAATTTAAGAGATTTCACGTAAGTATTTCGGTGAGAGGATGTACTTTATTTAGTGAAATATGACGTGCAGGGGTGCTGCGCTAGGAAATGCATACATACAGGACGCTAGCTTGAGGTGCTGCGGTTTGGTTGAAAGCAATAAAAATATTTATCGAGCACTTGTAGTAGGTACACAATGGAGATGTTGATGTTGCAAGAAACAAAATAAGATAGCATGTTTGATTAATAAGATTTATTAAACATTTGAAGCTTAATGAATTTTATTAAAATTAAAGAATTGTTGAGGGTTCTGAAATTAGGACAACGAACAATTCTCGAGTAGATAAACTATTCTTGTAAATATATTAACAAAACCTTTTGTTTTCTTGTTTGAAAGTGTAACTTGATTTACAATTTACAATACAAATGATAAATAAAATAAAATATGACCTATTTTTTGCTCAGACACCTCTACTAGTGACTGTACTTACCTGTAGGACGTGTAGGTAGCGGCTTTAAGATTTTTGTAGTAGGTAGGTATACTTATGAAGTTATGACTTATGACAAATCTTTGAAGCCCACTTTCTTACTTAGGTCTGAAGGTATTCCTGTAGCTGCAGAAAAGGTAATAATTTTTATTTTCCATTGAGTTTGAGTAGGATACAAAACATAAAAGTCTTTATAAAAATAACTCTTGAAATTAGTTATTTCGTGATAAGTGAGAATTGTAGCTCAAATAAAATAAATACAAAATAACATTCAGGATTGAAAAAATAGAAAAATCAGTGTTCAAGCTAGCTAAAATTATTTAAATATTTGACAATGACTATGTTGTCCTGCTTCAAAAATTTCAAGGTATTTTAAAAAATGGTACAGGTGTTTCTATGAGCAGAGACGCAAATCGCAGAACATATTTTAAATAATCAGAACAATTTTAGAAAATTGATTATTTTACATATGTACAAAGGTCACAATGTATTTTTTCAATTGTGTGAACTTTTACTATCCTTTTATATTTAAAAATAGAGATGTAAATGTACTTTAAAAAAATCTCAATTGAAATATTACACTTGGGTATTTTTGTTAAGAACAGTATTTACTAAAATTTTAAGATGCATGTACACATTGTATATTTGTTCGTACCTAGAGAACCCAAAAACATTTTTACACGTCATATCTCTATAAAAATTACAAAAGCGTTTATTATGATAACGTATTCAAACAGGTCAAAAGATCTTAAAGATTGTTACAAGACTTTTGTTAACCAATTATTCAGATGTATGGTGTCGTTTTTAATGTGTTATATGCAATAAGAAAAGCTTTTCCGTTTCGTCTGTCTGTCCATACCTATACATCTATTATTTCGAATTTTCAGGTATAGTTCAACATGACCGTGGAAATCATAGAAAGCTAAACAAAATTTGTGTTTTCAGAACAAATAAATCACATAAATGCGGGTTTGACCTACATTATAAGATTCTGATATCATCAGTAAAATTACTCTTAAGTATGTTCCCATTAGATCAAGTTGGTTTTGAAATTTCGTGAATTTTGCCGCCTTGTTGTGATGATTGATGACTATTCGTCGTCTGCAGCAAAAATCAATCATAATTTATCTTTCTTAAGTAAAAATATTGTTGTCGGAAGTGGGCAAACTCTTATTAACAATTTAGTCACAGAATTTCCAAAAATAGCATGATGGATGGTCTTTTATAATCACTCTGTATGATATATTTATTAAAAGAAAAGTCCAGTGTCTATAGCCAAATTCATACGTTTACATAAATGTCTTAACTATAAAAAAAAGAATATTGAAAATTATTTTAACAAGAAATTTAAAAGCATCTACTAATCAAAAATGTAAAAAATCTTTAAAATTATTTACAAATAATTTTGTTCACGTTTAAATGACAATAAATATCGCATCCATGTCAAGGTGTATATTTTAATAAAGATTTGTTTATTAAATTCTTGGAATGCCAAATATGGTTACTAGGTACTGATTTTGGAAATTTGACTGTAGTGACACTAATAAGGCCACAATATAGGCGCAAGATCTTTTTATTTTAACTTAAAGCAGGAAATCAGTATAAACACAATAAATTTCAAATTCCGCCATAAAAACATTAATGATATTAATAATATAAATATATATAACAATATAGGTATGTAGAGAAGGGTGTAGATGTATGTAGGTACTACCAAATATGTTATTCCGTTATGAGGTTAATGGATTTTGAAAGGATTTGAACAATTTGAGTAAAACTATACTTTTAAACACCGTAGAAGATATTGATAATAAACTAATCGGTATATCGTTTATCACATATTGTACCCCAACAATTTTACCCCCCAGATTTTATACTTGGTCTCTTATTATTTACTATTTTTCTTGATAATATTTGTGATATTTACAATCTAATTCAGAGTTATATGCTCTTTTTACAAAAAGATCTTTTTGATTAGAAATTTGATGTAAACACAATAATTTGGTGGTTAGTGTTCATCAGTATGCTGTAAAGGGTTTTAGTGGGAAAAATTATTAGTTTTAAAACTTTACATAAGTACTTTAAATAACAGAGTATTTAAGGTATAGTTTCCCCAGTTCTAATTCGTAGTAGTATGATAGTACCCCATTGTGTAAAAGTTAATTACTTAACAATAGAATACTACTGCCGGTGATGGGACAGTCATAAATCTAGGAATTTAACCATACCGTTACCATTATACTGTATAATGGTTAAATCTTTGTTTATGACTGTCCCATCACTGGTAATCTATTGTTAAGGAAGTTAAGTTTTGCACATCATAAAACCGAATTAGGACTGGGTAAACTATACCTACCTGACAGTTCTAGAAAGATTTAGGTGTTATTTTTGACCCGAAATTTAACGTCTTGTGTCTGTTATGCCTATATTGTAACAGTCGGAAAATTTTAAAAGTACCATCAAAATATGGAGTTTTCATTTTAATGATATTCGTACAAATGTTGTGGCTAGGTACATTGAAAAATCGATTTTCTTAATTATCTTAAAAATCCATCTGTAAACTTGAGATTGTAATCTACAAGCGAAATTATCATCTACTTAGTAAAGTCACTTCTCTTCTAAATACTTTGAAAACATTAAAATTCGTCATGTCACTGTATATTATTTAAAATAGGTTTATGCCTACACTTTACCCTTTACCTTTAGGTAAGTAAATCTACCTATACACAAAAAGTTTAGATCATTCAGCCCTGGCGTTAGTGAAAGATGTTAAAAAACTTAACACTGAGTGTAACGAATTCGAAAAAAAGTTTTTTAAAGTATTGAAGTACTTAGGTATATTTACAAATTCACCCCAACAATCTATTATAAATCTGCTATATTTATACCATTTTTCGACTGATTTTTTTTTTCAATTTACAATAAGTTTATTTCAGTTTTTGCGAAAATAAAATTTAATAATGGATGTCACTTTGTATAGTTTTGAAACGTACAAATAACAACCCCGCAGTCCCTGTACCGCAAGTGTACAAATTCCAAAGAGGCGCAGTCCGCACAAGTGCGGACAATATGAAATGTATTTAAAGATGAACGAGGAGGAGTGTGTTCTCAGTTTCTCATTAGGTATTTGTTTAAGTTCGACTGTTTAATGAATTTTTAATGCATCAAAGTATGCATTTTTGTTAAAAGAAACTAAATTTCGATTGATTTTGTGTGCTCAGTTAAATAATTAAGCAAAAAATATGGATAATAGCAAAAAAGCAAATTTTGGTTAGCGTTTTACCATCTATACAATAACTAGCTTTTCGTCCGCGGCTTCACTCGCGTAGACGATTCGTTGTGTTGAAGAACACTATTACCAAGCTTCAAGTAAAAAATGTGTTGAAGGACATTAATACAAAGTTTCCAATAAAAATCGATATAAAAATAGTTTTCTTCATACAAACTTTGTCACCCCCTTTCATCTTCTTAGGGGTGGAAACTCAAAAAAATTTGAAATATGTGTCGAAGAGTATTAATATCAAGTTCCACGTTTCCCATACAAACTTCGACACCACTTTTCACCCCCTAGGGGTTGAATCTCGGAAAATGCTCAAATACGTGTTTTATTATTTGTGTTGAAGACAATTAATACCAAGTTTTACGTAAAAATTTAAATTTACAATTGAAATATTTTTATTAATAAAGCTTCCAAACAAGATTTGACCCATTGTGCCATTTAAGATTTTTGACTTGATAGCCCCCCTTCGTTCCTGGGTGAAGGCAAAAGAACGAAAATAGTAACGTTATACGTCCCCTTTGCATCAAAAATCGACCTTTTCGAGCATTTTTTACATAATCCAGTACAGCGCCTAGGTTCCGTCCGTTTCGTTGTATTTGGGCCACCCTGTATATAGATTATTCCTTACATATACATATAAAATTTGGTAACAACTGGAACGGTAGTTTCGGAGAGTAGGTATCTGTTTAGTAAAAATCTGGACAGATACATAGACAGACAGACAGACAAACCGAAACGGGGCTTTATTTTTTTTTACTCTAGAGTTCACGAAACGTCGAAAAAACAAAAATAGCAGTCACCCGATAGACTTGATTGCAATACTTCCTTAGCTTCCGTGCAAAATGTAAAAACTTTCGTGTTTAATTCCCTATGAGAAAAAGACAAGGAAAATAATCCTCATTTTTTAAGTCTAAGCACATTCTTTCTAATCTTTAAACCGATTTTTTTAGCCTAACCATACTAAAATCGGACTCTGAGCTTTGGAACTTGAGGTATAAAGATAATCTATAAATGATTCGTTGTCTGCAAGGGATTTGTACATACAATGATATACAATAATGAAACACATTTTCGCATAAAAATTTACAAAAAATGGTTGTAAGCCTTCCGAGAACTTAAATAGTGAAAAATTATTTAAGGAAGAGTAGGTACCCATTTAACCAAAACACATTGAAAGGGTTGATATCACTACACACTGTGCATACGTACATCGCGATATTTGAGTTACAAGTGAAGAATTGTTAGATAAATTATAAATTAAGTACTGATAGAAGAAGACTAGATATTTATTGAACCATACAATCTTTTTGTCTAAAATTATTTTCGAAAAGTAAAGACATTTTTTTTATTATTTTTAAAATACCTATAAATTGTATTCGTTTTGATACTACTGACGACGCATTAAATTATATCAGTTTTATGTTTCTAGAAGAGTGTCAAATATTTCACAAGTTGTAACTTAATTGATGGTTCTTAAATGTTTTTCTTTCTGAAATTAAAATCTATGTTCCTGAACGCTGTACAAAATTCAGCACACTTTAAATAAATTATTTCTGTGCTATAATAACTTTTGCAAGAATTTGAATATTTTTAGAGGCTTTTTAAATAAATTCCGAATTAAATGTAAACATAACGAGGTTACACTTTTTGTTGCAAATGTTTTTACTTACACACTG